GTAGCGAAAGAATCTCTGTTATAGGTTAATTAAGTGTATTTAAACCCAAAACCTGTAATCCAGCAAACTCACTAATCTGGAACTAAGGTCCCAATGAGCCAGTTTATGATGGCCAACCCGTGTTTCAAATTGGAAAAAAAAAATTTTTCCCTATTTTCTGTTGAATGACAAATTTTAATTTGGTTAGGGGTTTTTATAAAAAAAATGTAATTTGAGAAGATTATTTGTTGTTTACTACTGTACGTAGAGTAAAAAAAGGATGTCTTCTCATTTTTTTCAGATACCGTATGGAGACTCAAACACACAGTGCCTTTTTTAAAGGGAAAATTTTGGTCAATTTCTATTCCGTCCTTTTAAAGCTTTTAAACAACTTAAGGGCAAAGAGTGAAAAATAAAAAAAAAATGAAATACGATGAAAGCAAATTTGCTTGAAATTGCAAAGGTCCAATGAGAAGTATTTCAGGCAATAATACATCCCCAAAATTTTAACTCACAAAATAAAATTCATTGGGGGGTAAATTTAAAACCCTCAAAACAGCCAATGATTTTCAAAAGAAGGGTCCAATAGTGTCGATAAAAAAAATGATGCAACGAGAAAGAAAGTGAAAAAAAATAATATTCAAAGTTTTTTGGTTTTTTGGGGATCAACATTTGAACCCCTCCCCATACAATCCCAGAGAAAAAAGCCAAAAAAAACTGCAGAAAAAAATAAAAAGTGAATAGCATTTAAAGATAAACTTCCCTTTTGAGTCAGGGTTTTTTTTTTGGGGGGGTATCTGGTATTTAAAGAAATTTCAAAGTCTTTGGAAAATGAAATGCCCGACACCTTTAATATGTTTCGAATCTTCACAGTTGGAGTTAAGATTATTTTGATTTTAATAAGTTGAATGTTAAGTTTTTTTTAAATAGTCCCTTTTTCCCCCTTATTACCTCATTTTCAGCTTCATTTATCCATAAAAAATGCCCTTTATTAACTTTTGTATATTTTAACCCCCCTTTAGGGGCCCGACTTTCAATTGAAAAATGTCCCCGGGCCAAAAATTTTAAAAAATAGTTAGTTTTATTGTTTATGAAAAAGGTAGAGAACTTTGTTTCTGAAGTATAAAACAAAAAAATATGAAATTTTAAAGGAAAAAATTTAAAGAAATTTTTGTTATGTGAAAAGTTGCTGGTCAGTGGTATTGCATCGTGATTTTGCCCACTTTGAGTCCCAAATTTCATTGTTCCAGTGACCCAAAATTCTTAGCTATTTGCAGTATGGCTTACATTTTATTGACTGAGCACATGAAATACCCCCCAACTATTTCCCAGGGGTTTCCTATTTCCCGGTAGTAGGTTTGGAGACGCAAACCCCCCAGGGGAAATACTACCGTCCTGCCCGATGACTGTGAAACAAAAAAATGTAACTGTTTTGATGATGGGAGGATTGTGGTTTTCTTTCTTTTTCTGTCTCATGAACACGCTAGATAACAGGGATATTTGCTACTCCTACTTACACTTTGGCCACTTTACAGACACGCAAGCATACTTAATACAAATCTATTTTTCTCCTTTTTCTAAATAGCTCTTGTTTTTTTTATTTTTCTGTTGTCCATGGGGAAGTGGAAAAAAAACTTTTCCTCCGTAAGCCATGCGTGTCGTATGAGGGGACTAAAATGCGGGGGGCAATGGGCTAGTAACCCCCTTTCCCCGTTACATTTACTAAAAAAAAAGAAAAAGAAAAACTTTTTAAATGGGATCTTAAATGTGCGTGGAGTAGTCGGAGACAAGAACAATGATTGCTGTTTTTAGAATGAAAAGAAGTTGGATGCTGGCTCTAAGCGAAAAAAAAGCTGAAGGGGGAGGAGAGTTTCAGTGGGGGGGGAAAAAAAGGGATTAAAAAGGAGTATCTGAGAGAGTTAGAGCAAGGAAGGGGTAGCAGTAATTTAAAGACGTTATGGAGGAGAAAAGGAATATGAATGTGTAAATTCAAGAATTATGTGGGTTAAAGTAAAAGGTTGGATCGAGAAATGGGTCATAATAAGGTGTATGACCCGGAGAAGGAGGAATGCAGAGGAAGAGGAATTTTGGGGGTGTTAAGGAATGTATAGGGCCTTTTAAACCCAAATGAGAGAGTAATTGTGGTGGGGGGGTGAATGCTAAAAATGGAGAAAAATTTTAGAAGGGGGGTAGGTAAGTTTGGGGTGCCAGGTGTAAATGTAATGGAGCCCCTTTTATTTAATTTGTTTAGAAAGGGGGTTTTGTTATAGGAATAATATTTTAGAAAAAAGGGGAAAAAAATTACCGATATGATGTAGGGTGAAATGACGTAGTTTGTTGGTTATGTTTTGGTAGTTTTAAAAAACTGTTATGCTTAGGATGTAATGTTTATGAGGGGCCCCAGATAATCAATCACTTCTAGTTGTAGCTACACTGAGAGTAAAAGGTAGTGGGGAAAAAGGGAATGAAGCATCAGGGAAAAAGGGGGGGGTGAAGGGTTTTTAAAAAAAAGGGAGGGAGTTGGGAAAAATATAAACAGCTATTGGAGGATAGAGGGCTAAGAAGCTAGGCAATGGGTCGAAAAAGGTATGGGGAGGTTTAAAAAATTTGTTTTGGGTTCAGCAGAAGTTTGTGGTTACAGAAAGGGGTGCGGGGGAAGAGGGGGATTTGGTGGAAAAAAAATGTAAAGGAGTAGTAAGGGGAAAAAAGTTTGCATATGAGGTTTTTTTTCAAAGTAAAGTGTGAAGGAGGGAAGGTATATGGAGAAAAAAAGAGAGGTTAAGGAGTGGTGAAGCAATGTAAAAAGAAGCAAATGAGAGGTGGGTGGAGTTTTCAACAAATTTTGTTAAAAAATAAGAAAAAGTTTTGGAGTGAGATTAAAAATTTTAAGAAACCCAGGAAAATGGTTTTTGTCAGTTAAAAATAGGAGAGGAGAGTTTTAAATGGAGGTTGAGGTATTGGGGAAAAGATGGGGGGAAATATTTTGGGGAAATTGTTAAAGGGTTGATGAAGATGGGGAAGCTGGTTTCGGTATAGGGAAAGGAGGAATAACACTTGTAGGATGGGGAAAAGGCCCAGTTGTGATGTGGGGGAAGTTCGTGAGGAGTGGAAAAAGGAAAGGGGGAAAGGCGCCGGGTTTGGGGAAAAAGATAAAATTTAAAAAGCAGGTGGGGATATAGTTTTGGAGTGGTTGGTGCAATTATTTAAAATAAATGTTGGAAAGGGGAAGGTCCCTAGTGTTGGCAGAGAGCAGCTAGTTCCCTTTTGTAAAAAGGCAAAGGGAAAAAAAAGAGAGTGCAAAAATTATGGGGGAAAAGTTGTGAGTGTACGGGAAAAGGTATGGTAAGTTATATTGAAAAGAATTTTGAGTAAGACGGAGAAAAGGTGAGAAGAACAAGGAGGCTTTAGGGAAAAGGGAAAAGGGGGGTGTGGATCAGGTGTTTACAGTGAAAAAATATAAATGAACGTATTTAATAAGGTAAAGAGGTCTTTGTGGCATTTATGGATTTGGAAAAGGGTAGAAGGGTGGGTAGGGGGGCAATGGGCAATGTTGCAAGTGTATTGGGGTAGGAGGTAGGTTACTGAAAACGTGAAAATTTTTACGAGGATTTGTGAGGCTCAAGTTTGAGTATGTAGGAAAAGGGGGAAATTTTTTTTCCCAGTAAAAGTAGGCCTTTGACAAGGATGTGTGATGTCCCCGTGGTTGTTTAATATATTTTTAGATGGGGTTTAGAGAAGTAAATCGGGGTCTTGGGAGAGGCGTGGAGTTAAAAGTAAAGAACAACCAAAGGGGAGTTGTCACAGCTTCTTTGTGATGACACTGGCTTTTGGGAGATTCGAAGAGAAGGCAGAGATGGTGGATGAATTTGGAGGGTGTGAAAAAGAAAAAAATTAAAGGTGAATACGGGAAAAGAGTAAGGTTATGGGAAAACCCAAAAAGTTAGTGATAAAAAGATTAAATATAGATTGGAGGGGAAGAGTATGGAGGAGGTGAAGTATTCAGATATTTGGGGTGGACTTTGTCAGCGGATGGGTTATGAAAGAGGGGGTTGAATATAGAATTGATGGGGGAAAAAAGAGTGAGTGGTGATTAGGAGTTGTGGAGACAAAGAACTTTGCCCTTTAGCGCAAAGGGGGGAATGTATGAGAGTATGTTTTACCAACGCTCTTAATGAGTGTGAAGCGTGGGTGATGAAGTTGCGGAGGAGAAGGCTGGAGGCAGTGGAGATGTCATTTTCTGGGGAAATGTGTGGTGTGAATATAATGAGAGAATTCGTTTTTTGGAAGTTAGGGGGAGGGTGCGGGATTACCAAAACTGTTGTCCAGAGGGCTGAGGAAGGGGTTGTGAGGTGGTCGGAAGAGGAGAAAGGAGCGAAACAGAATGACTTTAAGAGTGATCTCTGTAGTGGGAAAGGGGGGGGTAGGGGCGGCCCAAGAAGGGTTTTGGGGGGAGGGGGGAAAGGAGGGTTTTTTTGCGAGGGGGTTGGACTTCCAGCAGGCATGGTGGGGGTGTTTTAAGGAGTGAATGGAACAAATGGTTTTTAATACTTGAGTGCTGTTGGGGTGTGAGCAAATAACATTTATGAAGGGGTTCAGGGAAACCGGCAGGCCGGCTTTAGTCCTGGAGATGGGAAGTACAGTGCCTGCACTTGAAGGAGGGGGGTTAATTTGCAGTTTAAAAACTTAGTGTAAGCACCCTTCTGGGAAGACAGGTGGATGAATGATGGTGAGGTTTTTCTTTTGGGCCCCCCTGCCCTTTGGGGGGGTCGGCCCTGTGTAATATAAAATATAATTAACTATTTCACCCACCTAATAAGTGATCAGAATTTCTAAATTTTGGGCCCAATTCACACAAATTTAAAATATGCCAAACAAAATAGGGTTCAGAATAAAAAAAGCAGGGTTCATGGGATTAAAAAAAAATTTTTTCCCTTTTATTTGTTATGTTTCCCCGATATTGGGCTAGAAAATATACAGGAACCTTCATAGCACACATAAGTACAGTAAAACACCTAAATTACTGGGAACGGTTGAAGTTCCTCGACTTGTATTCCTTGGACTGCAGGTGGGAGAGATGCATTTATAAGTGGAAAAAATGGCATTCCACTTTCTGGCGATGTCCGCTTTCCGGCGGTAGCCTGGAACCTAACCTGCCATATAAGTGGGGCCCTACTGTACTTGCAGTTTGAAAGATAGTGATGTCGCAGTTAAGTGGATCATTTGACCTAAAGTGTCTGTACACTTCCGGAAAGATAACTAAGAAATGAATTCTGATCATTGTGTTTTTTGTCTTTGAATCACCAGGTCTTAGTGGGGAAATGACTTATTAACATATTAATTTTTTTTTGCATGTTTTTAATTTTTTTTAAAGAACATTAAGTTTCATAATTACTGTTGAAACTACATACAATAATTTACTTGCAGAGACTTCATCAAGCTTTTGGTGCAGTTAAGTTTGCCAGGTTGTACCTTGTGCACACTCAGTCGTCGAGAGTTGGAACTTTACTATTACATGCCTGGAGACATGTTCAGAGTTTTCCCTGTTCTCCTAATATCTTCATTGCCCTTTGGACAGAATATTGCTTTTCCTATTGGGTAAGTCAGTATTTCACTTTATTGCCCTGGACATAAATTAACTTATAGAAGTAAAATTTTATTTTAACATGTAAGAATAAGTCTGTTGAATATACTGTACCAAATAAAGTGTATGGCAGCAGTGCACTTGTAATAATATTGGTAGAATTACCGACTACATAAAGTAGAAGGACACAAGTGCAACTAATGTGACATTTTTATTATGGCAACGTTTCGTTCTCCAGGAGCTTTATCAAGCCGTTACAAACAGTACATGGACACAGAGGGCATATATAGGCTCAGAGTGAGGTGCAATACTAGTGGTAGTAGTAGTAGTAGTAGTGATATAAGTTGTAGTAGTAGTAGTAGTAATACAATATGGTAAAATAATTAACTTGCACATGAGTAAAAGGATATAAAAGCTATTACTTGGGTAACATAAAATTAGGTTAGACAAATATTTCTATAGGAGGCTGGATAGAGAAGGTCTGTTTCAATGTTCATTCTCTGTAATGTGCTTGTGTAGTATTAACAGGAGAGACTATGTGATGGCAGGGTTTGCTGTTTTCAGGAGGATTCTTGCTAAGACTTCAGAGATGGTGAAGCTGCCTTTGTTTTGTTTAATCGTATTAGAAACAGCGATTAGCAATGATTCAAGGCATTTGCGTCTGCAGAAATTAGTTTCTTTGATCACTAATTGGGCGTCCCTGAATTTCATGAGATGATTGGTGGAATTTCAGTGTTGTACGCAGGTGTTGTTCAAGTTGTCATTCCTACATGCATTTATTTATTTTATTTATTTATTTAAAAATTTGTGCACACATACAGAGGTACAAAAAATACAGAAAAGAGCAGTATGCCAAAGCCACTTATACTATGCATAGCATTACGGGCTGGCTTAAAATTAACTTAAGATGAACTAAGCAATGATGACATCGGTGATAAAACTTTAATGTAAACAGATTACTATAAAGCACAAGTGAGTATTACAAAGACAGGTCATATGGTTGTATGCATTGTTGTACATTCAGTAGAATGGAGTATTCTGTTAGGTAGTGTATTTAAAAAATAATAAAGTTAGATTGGGTTTTAGGTTTAACATTTATGTGATATAATTGTGAGGAAACATTTAAGATATACAATTTATAAGGTTCAGTTATTCAGTATTTATTTGGTTTTGGGTGAGTAAGTGATCTTTGAGAAGAGACTTGAATTTATAAACAGGTAGTGTTTCTTTTATATTTACAGGTAGTGAGTTCCAGATTTTAGGGCCTTTTATGTACATTGAGTTTTTGCATAGTGTGAGATGGACACGAGGAACATCAAAGAGTGATCTGTGCCTTGTGTTATGGTCATGTGTTCTGTTGAGTTGGCAAGGAGATGTTTGAGGGGAGGGTTAATATCGAGTTAAGTGTTCTATGATGTAATAGGTGCAGTAATAAGTATGAATGTTTTGTATGGTGAATAGGTTTAGTGTATTGAATATTGGTGGAGTGTGCTGCTATAGTGAGAATTTGTTATCATTTCTAACTGCAGCCTTTTGTTGGGTAATTAGTGGTCTGAGATGGTTACTTGTTGTTGAGCCCCATGCACAAATTCCATAGGTGAGATAGGGGTAAATAAGAGAGTGATATAGGGCCAGGAGGGCTGACTGTGGAGCATAGTACCGTATCTTCGATAGTATGCCTACAGTCTTGGAAATTTTCTTAGAAATTTGTTGTATATGTGTATGAAATTTGAGTCTATTATCAAGGTGGATTCCTAAGAATTTTCCCTCTGTTAGCTTTGTGATAGGTGATCTGTTTATCATTATGTTAAGAGGGACATCTGTAGCTCTGTTACCAAACTGAATGAGTAGGTTTTGTCATGTTTAGTGTAAGTTTGTTAGTCCTCATCCAGGTAGATATTTTCTGTAATTCTGTATTTACAGTATTGGCTAGCGTGACTGGGCTCGGGTGGGAGAAGACGTATGTAGTGTCATCTGCAAATAGTGTGGGTTTGAGTAATTGCGAAGCATTTGGTAGGTCATTTATGTATAGGAGAAAGAGAAGAGGGCCAAGGACACTTCCCTGTGGGACACCAACTGTAATTGGTTGTGCAGAAGAGTTTGCCCATTTGCATACACATATTGGCTTCTGTTTGCTGAGGTATGACTTGAGGTAGTTGAGGGAGTGCCCTCTTATTACCATAGTGTGACAATTTTACGTGGAGCAAGTCATGGTTAACTGTATCAAAAGCTTTACGTAAGTCAATGAAGATCCCAGTGGACTTCTTTTTTCTCTATTGCAGTGTATATATGTTCTAGCATGTGTATAATAGCATCATTAGTATTTTTATTTGGCCTGAATCCAAATTGGCAGGGGTTGAGTATGTTTTGGGAGATAAGGTAGGAGTAGATTCGTTTATGAATTAATTTTTCGAAGATTTTTGAGAGAGGGTGTAAGTTGGATATTGGCCTATAGTTATTCAACTCTGTTTGGTCTCCTCTTTGTGGATCGGGGTGACCCTTGCTATTTTGAGTACTGTGGGGAAGGTGGAGGATTCAATGGATTTGTTAAAGAGTGTTGCAATGATTGGTGATAGCACTTGTGACACTTTTTTGTATATAAAGGGTGGTAAGGTATTTAAATCTCCTGCCTTGTTTTTTAGCGTGTTGATAATAAGGGGGACTTCTATGGGTTTTAGTCGGAGCTAGGAACAGTGTGTTCGGGTGTAGTTGCCAGTGAGGTAGTCATTAGGTGGGGTATCTGAGCTTGGGATTTTATTGGAAAGGTTTTGTCCTTAGTGGAAAAAAAGTCTTTGAGTCTGTTTGCTGTTTCTGTTGGTGGGAGTTGGGGTTCATCTGATTTTGCTAATTTTATTTCGCTATTTTGTGATATCTTTTTGTTCCTTAGAATTTTTTATTTGGGTTTTCCAGGTCTTTTTTATATCACCTCGTAAGTTGGATAATCTGTTCTCATAATACAATTTTTTTGCCCTTTTTATCAGGCTGGTTAGGATTGACGGTAACGTTTTGTTTGGTTCTGGTTTTTGTGACCCATTCTGTACTGTTTTTCATATTGGTGTTTTGTATTTATGGATTTGAGAATGCTGGGTGTTAAAACCCGGGACTGTTCAGTCTCTTAGCTGTCATCTGTTTAGTTTTTTTTAGGGCAGTGCTTGTTATAGAGGTATTGGGTCTTTTTTAGAAAATTATTAATACATTCGTCAATATCTGTATATATTTCTAGTCAGTGTGCCAGTCAATGTTTGCTACTGCTGTTTTGGGAAATTATTAATGGCTGCCTCATTGTGAAGTCTGAAGGTGACTTTAGTAGTGTCTTGGGGTAATTTACCAAGAGTTGTTATGAGAAAAGTAGGGTAGTGGGGCTGTGGTATTATCTGTAATTATGCCTGATTTTAAAGGGGATATGGTGTTGGTCCAGATGTGGTTCAAATAGGGAAACACAGTCTCTGTAACTCTTTTAGGTTTTGTTACTGTTGGTAGCAACATACAGTTACTCATTGTGTTTGTGAATTCCAGTAACGTGTGGGTCCCGGTCTTGCAGGAGATTTTTTATATTGAAGTCACTGAGAGTAGTAAGTGATCTTTGTTCATGCGTGCATCAGTTATCATACTTCTGGTTTTGACTAAATTGGCTAATGTTTGACTGTGGAACTCTGTAAATGTTTATCAATGTGAGAGGTTTTTTGTAGGTATTTGGATTTGAATTTGGCTATTTTATATTCCCCATGTTCATCCTTGTGCAAGTATTAGTGATACATTTAGTTGGTCTGAGTAGATATGGCTGTGCCACCCCCTTGTTGGTTTTGGCCTACAGTTGTGTATGGCTGTGTAACCAGGAATGGCATGACATCTGTACTATCAGGCTTTAGCCAGGTTTCGTTAGTGTAATGATGGACATATTGGCATGTAAGGAATTTAGTAATGCTATGAGGTCATCGTAATGCTTGCTTAAAAATTGAAAATTGTAGTTAAAGATAGTTATGTTGTTGTTGGCACTGAGAAGTGCCTTTGATTGTTCTGCGTGTAGTAATTACAGTAACTGTTTGAATCATTTAAGTCATTAAATAAGAGGTTGGTATCAGGATCAATGCTTGTAATCATAAGATTTGTAGTGAATCTATAGTTAGAATTAAGTATAAAACAAAGTAAATAGTCTTAAGCTAAAAAATAGCACCTGAATTATTTAACAAATGTAAAATAATGAGCTAAGGTAGTTTTGGAATATAATGGCAAAGTTGTGAACTTATTCTACTTTAGCACCTGAGAATAGCACCTTGATTATTTTAACAATTGTGAATGTATAAACTAGGCATAAACTATGCATAAATGTATTACAGCAGTGCGGTTGATAATGATGAGAGAGACAAGCTATGAAATTGCTATAGGCATACATTGGTGCAATATTATGACTGGTTATAACCATTTATTAAAGAATATTTAACTACATTTACTTTGCCTGTTGCACAATCAGAGTGAGGTACACTTACTGGGCAAGATGCCTAGTAAGTGTACCTCAAAACCCCTAGTAAGCCCAGGGGCTTCAGTTAAACTTCCTCCCAAGATGTCCAGGGGCTGGAGATCAATTTCAAGAGGCTTGTAAGGTAGCTGCATGAAATAATCCACAGAAAGCACTCGTTCATTCTTAAAATTATTTTGTATGTTATTGTCATGTGTGTATAAAAAAATTGATCTCAGGGTGCTTGTGGCTTAGTTGGGTGCTCATAGCTTAGTTAATACAGCCTCTCCCCACTTATTGACAGTTCTGTTCCTTAGACCTCATTGGTAAATGAATTCGTCGGTAAGTGAGGAGCATATGATAATGGTAGTAGGTTTGTCAGCCATCTTTGATATTGTTTTAATGTCACCTTTGCAACAGCTGTAGCATTTCTGGTATATTCTTAAATGTTTGTACAGTAGTGTACTGTGTATTGCAATAAACAGAATAGAGGAAATCAGCTCTAACATACATTATTTAGGTATGAATGCTGGTTAAAGAGCTCGTAAGTCCAAGTCT